GACATGACAGTTCTCAGGATGGGGCTGAAATGGGAAACGTGAAGCACCTGGAAAATCAGATCATTTTGGGAAGGCAGCCCTGAGAGGGAAAGCCTCATTTCTGCAAACGAGCATGGGGACCTGGGCATCGTGGTGGCCACTCGGGGAAGATGCTATTCTATCAGTATAAAAGCTGACTCTGCAGTTTGGGGAATAGTAATACTCAAAATAGGACCTTGTAATCCTCTGTCTTTGGATAGAGACTACCAGCTACCATGGGTTAAAATGGGCAGTGTAACAAACATGTCCATAGTCCTTAGTTGTTAGGACTAACTCTCCCAAAACTTATGCCTTTGGCCATGCCAGGAAAGGCCATTGTATATGTCTGTGCCTATTTTTTCAAATAGAGTTACCTACTTGATGTAGCGAAGCCTGCTAGGAGCACAATATGCTACATACATCTTCCAGCCTGTGTCAGGTCGTCTAGGTTGACCCAAGATTTGGAGATCTGGGATCCCCCACGAATTTTGGCTGTATGCATTGCTTCTCCATTTGCACAAAATGCTTTCCTCCAGGCTTGCTGTGCACATTGTCATTAATAGAGTAAAATTTTTTTTTTTTTTTTTGTGCAAGTACATGCTGCCCCCATATATATAAAATACTGTTAAATTTGGGTTGTTTAGCACACATGGCTACTTTTCCTTGTTAGAAAGATTTTTGGTCCTCTTCAGATTTTATGGGTAATTTCTACTTGTACATTAAAACCAAGTATCTTCTCCTTCAGTTCATTTACTACCTAGAGATAGCTGGGAAAATTGCCATGCATCCAGTATGATTGCCTCACAGTCTAAATCACTGTCTCTTGCTAAACAGACAGAGAATCAGGAGCTATAGTGGCACTTCTTGTAATTAAACGTTATTAATATGAGACAAACAAAAGACCATTAAGGCCTGGAAAGAAACGGTGGTTACGTGTTACTACATGTTACAGTTTGTATCAGAATTAATGGTTCCTGACACATTAACACAATTTGAGCAATTAAAGATGAAACTGGATCTCTTTACATGTTATTTCTTCTGACTGCTTGCAAGGCAGGCATGTTAAAGCAGCCCAGGTCAGGAAGCAGCTCCTGACCACCCCTCCTAATCATATGCAACAGATGATGTCCTGGGAATTATTAAATCTCATCTCCAAACCACCAAGACTTGATTCCGTAAGGTTTGGGATGAGCCATGAGGGGAGAGGGGAGGAGTGGGGAGCATGCACTTCTCTGCTGACACCACAAAGCTGTGTCATAGCTTAATGTTTGTGCCAAGCATGACGCAAATGCTGTGGCTCTGTGGGGCAGCTTGGATGGGCTCAGATACCCTTAAGACCGGTGTGGTCAGGTATGCTGTAGGACGGGAGCCACCAGCTGTCCTGCAAAAACACTGGGAAGCAGCTCTTGCAGCAGCCTAGAGAACATCCATGTTTAATATTTTACAAATGCAGTTACACAGGGAAAAAGCAGGCAGTTCAGAGCCCATCCCTCCAGATCTCTTTATAAATAGCAGGTGGGCTTGGACCTGGACCAAAGTGGCCTCAAACAGCCTCATGGATGGGCTTAATTGCACAGTAGGGTCCCATTTGTTCACCCAAATTCTACTGAAGTCCCTGTGCCTAGTGTTTCCTATTAGCTCACAGCATCCAACAGCTCCAAGCCAGCTAATAAGAAACACAAGGTACAGGCACTTGGGTGGAGATTTGCCCAGATGAATCCAAGCCTTGAACAAGCCTGTCTTCTGGATAATTTTTAGACCTATTGTTTCAAACCTATTTTCGGATCTATTTGTTAAAGACCTATTTTGACTGACTACCACATTTTACCAGCCCCCTCCCCCCATGCTGGGGCCCTCAACCATTAGATGCAGGGCTGGGCACCCTAGTGTGGGGCTCAGGCAGGGGATGTGGTTTAGGGGGACGAAGTAAGGTGGATCAACCTTTAGAAAAAAAACATTTTTCTGTAATGAGCCCTGCTCCAGAGCACAGTGGCCATTACTTGGGGAGGGGGATAAGCACTATACCTCCTGGGCCATCCTGGTTTTCCTAGCTTTCACCTTAATTTCACTTTTCCCAGCTGGTTAATCAGATATGCTCAGAGTTAGCATAGCTGGAGCCACCACAACTGTATCTAAAAGCAAATGGTCTTCCCTTCCCCTTCCCTTTCCTCCCCAACAAGCAATGCTTGAACCTTAGAGAAACAGCAGCAATGCACTGTTGCTGCAAGGGAGGAGGTTTGTGCAGGAGCGGGTAACTCACCCACCCGCCCTGCATTCAGGGAGAGGTTTAAGAGACAAAATCAGTGCCTCTGCGGCTACATTAATCTGCTGGCCATTTCCCAGACATGGGAAGGGTGAAACCACGTAGCCATGACAGCACCAGAGCAGGAGGCTTGCAGCAAATTCCTCCTCCCCTCCCACCTTCCTATACCAGATCCACACATTCAGGTTTAGCAGAGGAGTAGTGAATAATCTGGTCATTGGATGTGTGCTTTCAAGGGCCATAAGTATATTCTACCATTAAAAATGTTACTAGGGCACTGTGTTGATTTTCACTATCCATGAAATATAGCTCCCATTCTCCTTGGAAACAGCAAATCTGAAATATGAAAAGCAAATGTCGAACCATATTTAAATCAACTAATCCAGTCTGTTTCCAGCCAAATATTCATATCCGCTGTTAATTGCTTTTTATTACCTGGGTCTCTGGCTTCTCCATCAAAGACGGTGTTTAGCTTTGTCATTGTCTGTGAAGAGAGACAAAATGTGAAATGAATCCCGTGAATTAGTTAAGTAAGGAGGAGCAGTGACTTGGAAAAAGTGACCTACATGGATGGAGGTGGATCTGTGTGACCTGCATATTGCATTCCTGTACGCTGGGTTTAATCAAAACTGGCAACAAAAGCAATTTGTGGAGTAGGGTGTCGCCACTAGATGTTCAAAGGAGAATTAATAAGGTCTGACATGCTAAATGCCTCCATGTCTGTAACCACAAGAGGGACACCTCCACCCAGAGGAGGCTTGGGAATACCCCTCTGAAGAACATGGGGAGGGAGAGTACGCTAATGAAAGTGCCTTGCAGCCTTTATGCTTTCATGGCTATGAAAAAGGAAGGAGCCCTAAGATCCAGGAGCAAAGAAACATCTACTATACTGGAAATAAGTACGGCACTTCAAACAGCTTATCAAGACCAAACTCTTTACAGCTTGGGTACACTTGTGTACCTGACTGGGTGCACTCAGGCGGGTCAGGGTTAGCTGCGCAGGTCAGTGGTGCCTCAGCAGCGCAACGTTGCCATCAGTGAAGCTGGGGCACTTGTCATCCTGCACCTGCGGCCGCAGCGTGTCTTCGTGTTGCTGCTCTGGGCACAGTCTCTCTGGCCTCCCACGTACGGGGCTGCCAGAGAGGCTGCAGAATTCGGCACTTTGAAGCAAAGGCGCCGCAGCACGGGTGAGCAGCCCTCGCACCCAGTCTTGCCTCCAAATACAGAGGCCAGTTAGGGCAGCGAAGCTTTTTGCATTTGGGGGCAATCCTTTTTTCCTCATCTATCATTTTTATATTCTCTTTGGCAAACAGATGCCTTTCATAGAAAGGGTCCTACGATCATATTGCATGTTGGGGCTGGGCAAAACGGGGTTTTGTTTTGAGGCCAGAAGTACTTACCACAACCACTTCTTTCTTATGTTTGTTCTTTTCTACAGAAAAGAAAATGCACATTGTAAAGAATCAGATTTTTCTGACAGTGACTATAGACACTAAAGCCAAGATTTCCTCAAACAAATACACATTCTTGGTACTCAGCTTCTGAGACATGTCAAATGAGCCTTATTTCTTTTCAAAGGCTGATCCCTCATACTATCTGAAAAGCGAACTCCTTCATAGTATTTTGGAGCGCAAATCCACAGTTGCTAACAACTAATCAAAAGTTTAGCCTTGAAAAGTCTTATTCCTTCAGTAATGAATAAATAACAATGGTTTCTTTAACAGATTTCCCTTTCTAAATAATATGAACAGATACAGAAATTCACCTTTGGGGATATTTGAACTACAAATGTATACTTTTTTTCCGCCATGAATGTTTGTAGTTGCAAAGCTTGTGCACTCAAACATGCGCTCAGAGACAGAACAGGGAAGTGATGCAGATCCCGTCAAGTAAAATTCAGATCGAAGAACAGTTTGGTTATGTGTGAATTTACCACACTATTAACTCATCCCACATGCAAACAAATACAGCAGTGCCACGGGCATCTCGACAGCATGGATTTGTGGATGATGCCCAACTAGTTGCTATGATTTCTTCTTGTTCGCTCCTTGCCTATTTGTTTAATGGCCTTTCTTTGGAGCACTGTATGCCTGGCCATCAACAGGCTTTACAACCGGGTGTGCAATACTCTGAAGCACTGCAGATGGGTCTCAACCTGAGCACTGATGGGACACTTGTTCCGTCTGGCCTTTGCTGCCCAGCATTTGGGAACCAGTTTTTCAGAAAGCACTACGAATCCATTTTTTGGAAACCAGCCAATGCTGAAATGTCTCAAATTGGGCAACCAAGAGAACAGCTAATTTTGTTGGGTTTTGTTAGTCATGTGTTTTTTTCAAGCTGGGAGATACTGATTGAGAAGAGGGAGTTATAAAAGCAGGGTCTTACTGAGCCCATATGAGCCACGCTTGCTAGCAGAAAGCTAATGGGACTGAAAGGGACAAGACTGCTTAAAAAACCACGTTTTTCTTATGTGCAGCTTACACTCCTGCTAAGTTATATGAACCCCTTTAAAAGCACCAATACTTTAATATAAATCTTCAGGTACATGAAGTAATGGTGTCAAGGGAGCAAGTTAAGGGATCAGAGAACAGGGAATTAGAGTGGAGAGGACTCTTGAAGGTGCTGTAGAGGGATGGGATTATTTTTTAAGAGATAGCATATGAATTGCATGTGAAAAATACCATAATTCTTTAGCATCCATGCCAGAATACCAGGCTACTCTGAATTTGGGTTTTACCTAATAGTTAATAGATTTGAAGACCAAAAAGACCATGAAATCACTTAGGCGGGCCTCCCATAGTCAGCCAGGGTTATTTAATCTCAGTACTCTTGTACTGGGTCAAATTTATTTGTCTAGAAATGGATTTACAAATTTTACACTGAATCGTAAACAAGGTCTTGTTGTGGAGTAATAAAATATAGAGAAGAGGTACACACCTGGAGCATTTATCCTGTAATGAAAAAAAGATAAAGAGCATAGTTAACAAATGTCACACTTTTGCCTACATAAAAATATCATGCTTTGTTCTCTTTCATTTGGCAAGAAGGATGTGTTTCCTTGAGTTCTGGGATTTGCTTGATCTGTTTGGTTTCTGGTTTTGCTTCCACTGAAGGCCTGCATCATTTAATGCTGCTCTCAAACATGAAAACAGCCCTGAGCATTGCTCTAACACCTCTCCAAGAAGGAATGATATTAAAAAAATAAAGTCTTATTGACGATAGCATGATGGATTTATATAATCTGGAAAAATATATTTTCAAATATTGTCATCTTGTTCCATCCTTGGAGGAAGGTCAGTTTTTTGGATCTGATGGGCTCAGTTAATACCTTTTAAAATATTTGAAAGGTTGTCAATGTTTTTGAAAATATAGAAATTGCTTTTTAATGGGAGAGCCTGGCTCCCGATGAATCACTTGCCCTATTAATAAATAATAACAATAGCCAAGCTATATACTGCTAGATTCATTTGTCATTTTTATCACAAATTGCTAAATTCCTTGCACACACCATTTGAATTATAATCACAGTCATATATTACCTCTTTACATTTACCATAATTTCTAAACTCAGGTCCAAATCCTGAGAATACTTACAGAAATCCTTTTTTTTTTTTTTAATCCCAGCTCACTTAAAGAGCTGCTTATCTTTGTTTTGCAAAGTAAAAAGTCAATTTAGAGGCAGTCTGGCTCCAGCCCGCTGAGAAAGCAGCCAGCGGGGATCTCTGCCGCTTCCCACCATGAACCAGAGCCGGTCCCAGGTGCTTCCGTGGCTTTTGCCAAGCACGAGCACTCAGAGGTACTGCGAAGCTTTATGGGCCAGAGCCTTGCAACAGGCTTTGGTAAAACTCCAGGAAATCTGCAGAAGTTTTGCCAGAACAAAGAATTTGGCATGAGCACCAAGGTTTGGAAAGGACTCTGGGATCCGTAGCTGAGCGGGAGGAAAATGCAGGCAGTAACTACCTAGATGGGAGCTCCCTTGGAGTGGGAGCCAAATACAAACCAAAAACATTTGTATTTTTGGTCAGCACAGTCAGGCACAGACTCTGACTGCATAGCTGCCTTTAAAGGTCATAATTGTTAATTCCATTATTACCTTCATCTAATGCTAATGTTAGTAAATCCATGAAAAAAAAAAGCCACAGACATTTTTCCTTGATTTCGTATCATTAACACCAAATATCACTGTAGCCAATAACAGCATTTACTACAGTGAAGGGCATAACGCTGTAAAATATTCGAAGCATAGATTTCACCAAGGCTGAAAGGCCTGAGTTCTCTCTGTCATTGCCATGTGTTGCTGGGTACTTCCCCAGCGTGACATCTGGGAGGACTCACCGATGTGCGCCATCTACTTTGCCTGCCGGCGGGCAGCAAGTGCGGACCCACGTCACCAGCAGGAACCCCAGGTACCCCAGCAGTCCGAGGAGCAACAAACTGCCGAGGGTGATGACGAACGGCACATACCACGCCGATTCAGAGTAGAGGTTTTCCCTTTTCGTCACAACAGTGAAGCCAGGCTTTTAAAACAAGATAGGAAAAGTTGTGAGGTTAATACTTGCAAGGTTACTGACACCAACGGCACCTTTCATCTGGTTGAACTTCTGCACTGAAGCACCTGGCCCAAGCTTGCCCCGAGGCTCTGCAGATGATGGGCAGAGGGAGACAGCATCTGCTGGAGACAGTGATTCATCCCACCTACGGTACCTGCCTGCTGACTGCCGAGGCAGCTCGGATGACTGAGATGGACCACCAAGCTCCTGGGGCAACCAAAGGCAGGTGAAATGCAGCCTGGAGGCTGCAAAAAGGAGGTTCCAGATCGTGTTTCAATGTCTTACATTAAAACAAGCATGCCATGGTGGGGTTTAAAAGCCTCAGGTTGCCTGAAAAGCTGTGAGCACACTGTTGGAGGGTGAGCAAGTTCAGGGAATACTGCCATTACCGAGATAATGGTTTCTTGTTACCTAAGGCAAAACTGGAAGTAGGTCACCTTCACTGCAGTGATCATTCGGCCCCCTTCGTAAGAGGAGTTAAACCCCAAGGAATTGGGTTATTGTATAAAAAGAAATGAAACTCCTTTTTTTTTTTTCCCTGTGACTTGTTCCAGAAGGGAAAACCACACTTCCTGAGCAGTTGCAATCTCCCACATCTTTCCGAGTGCCAGGAGACACGGCTCTGAGCTGTCACAGCACTTGGTGCTAGCAACTTTTTCATTAAGGTCCCATCACGAAACTATCCTCACATGGATCAGAAATTACTTGTCTGCTCTACCTGGGTCATTACCTAGTGTGATACTATTTGTTTTGATCATCTACTGAAGTTTTTATTTAATTTTCTGTAAGACATTTGTAATCATATTGTGTATGAAATCTAGTAGGGTTTCTATTTCTTTCCTGTTTAAGGGTACCTTTAAAATCACTTATTTAGCCTTGCAAAAAATAGTACATCCGATCCTTAGAGAAGTTCTCAGATAATCTCAAGATCACCGCCACCACTCCACCCTCACTGGGACTGAAGTTACAAGTGACTTTTTGTGATGGGGCTTCTTTTCTATACTACCAGCCTTCCAGCATCTGATTCACCAAGTTGCTGCACTGAACGCATGTAAGGAGTAGTGATGGAGAAGTTGCTGTAATGGAAGTGCTCTTCTGGAAAACAGACTGAAAGTGGAAGGCTGATATCTCTGGAGAGGCAGATTTAATGCTGTGGTATGTGGTCCAGACTGTTTGTATTTGTGGTAAAGCATGGGAAAGAAATACAGAATAAGTTTTGTTATTCAGCTTAACTTTTCACTTCCACATCAAGTAGGGGGAGGAGAAGGCTGTGAGAAAACCATTTATTCCTTCCCAACAGAGCATTAGGTAATAACAAGGTTATTAATCAGTCTGCAAGTTTGGATTTAAGCATTTTTATAGCAAAGTGGCCAGATTTGCATGTGCTGTTTGCAGGATCCCCTGGTTCTGGCTCAATTACCAGTAGTCCCTAGCAGATCCGGACCATTTTACAGTGAATAGCTCTTTTACCCCTTCACCAGCATCCTCATATTTTCATTCCTGCATGCAAGGGAGAAAAGGGTAATGCCACTGCAGGCAGGCAGAAAATGGATGGACTCTGGATGATGGAGAGATGGTGCAGCAAGGGATGAAGGCAGTGACTGGCACAAGGATGGGGACAGAGTGGGCTGTACCCTCAGGCTGTGCCGCTTCTGCAGGCAGGACGACAGCAAGCTCTCCTAACATCCTGCACCAGCCTGATGGAAATCAGCTCCAAAATGAAACCGGTGAGCCAGCGCTTGCCTGGCATGGCTGTGTGGAGGAGTAGACTCTATTGCTGGGACACAGGCCCATGGCCCCACAGGCTGTGGAGGCCAGATCCCACCCCAGCTGCTGAAAGCTGTGCAGGCTTCCCTGGATCAGCTACGGACCACCATGTGGGCAGGGAGCTCGGGAAAGACCCATCCCACCCCTCTGACTTTGCTGTCTGAAACCTCAGCAACATGCTGAGGCTGTGCACAACTGCTTCAGTTCCTGACAGGCAGCTCGAAGTTTTACATGATGGTGACCTCAGGGATGGAAAAAAGCCCCTTCCAAGTGATGAGGATTTCTTGTTGTTGTTGTTGCCTATTTCAACTTTGATAGCCTCAGATTAATGTGTCCCACTGCTAAAGAAGCCCATAGAAGTGCAAGGCAGCTGGGGCAGTGAACAGCTATGAATAAAAAAGAGGTAGTGCAAAATGCATGAGGTAATTTTAAGGTTCCAGGCAAAGGTTAAGCCCTGCTCTTTCCTTATAAATAAAGCTGCCAAAATCTTTAACTTTCCAGTTACATGGTAATGGCAGCATGCCTGGTCCTTTGGCTACTTGCCCTTTTTGTTTTAGAAACTAAAACACAAAACATATGCTATGACTCTGTACCTGGGACTGATCCTTCATGATGCTGAGCATAACAACCACCTTTGGCTTCAGTGTAAGAGCACAGGGCTCAGCACTTCCCAGGACTGGACCCACTGTAGGTTTTTGCTCCCCTTTCGCATACATCTACTCTCTTTTCTTCACTTCTATGGAGATTAGCCCATGAAAGAACCACAGGAGTGGACATAAATTTCAGTGAACTTACTGTTGTGGGAACAACAGTAGTTGGATTTGGGATAACTCTGATGCTTAAAGTCACCGTTCCAGTTTTAATTAGGTGTGTAGCTTTGTCCCTGGCAGACAGTAAATTGTCATCTGTTATATAGACGCGCAGTCTGTAAATCCAGTTTGTATCAAGTCCACTCTCATAGTTGAACCTCGATGCAAGAATCAGACGAGATGTGTTGGAGCCGGCACTTGGTGAAAAAGTGAAATGATTGTTCACATTGCCTGCAAGCAATAGCAAAAAAACAAAACAATGCCAAAAAAAAAAAAGGGGGGAATAAAAGAGAAAAGCTATCCCACATTAAAGTAAATGGTTGGAACAAGTAAAAACATCAGTTTCTGTTGACAACTTGCTATGGATCACTATACACCTGTGCAGTGAAATATCATTGATAAGAACGGCTCCTTGATCTTCCTGATATCATATAAAGTCAGATAAAACAATACAGTCATAAAAGCATTAAAATATGGAATAAGACCCTCTATGGGGACACAGCTGAGAGGAGGCTGTGGAAACATTTCAGAGCCATAGGGCACACCAGAGGTCACCCAAATGACCTGTCCTTACAGCCTGGAGAGCACCCAGAAGCAGCAGCACCCAGCCGGGGCAAGGACCCTACGCTATTGCTGGCCTCTTCCCGCTACCAGGGTGTTCCCGGAGTCGCCCCTAGGCCACATGGACACCACCAGTGTCTCCAGAGGCCCCTCCAGGCCCTCTCCATGGCTTTTCCCTTTGCCCAGAGGCAGAGGCCTTTGAACAGGTCCCCCAGAAGAGAGCTAATGACTCGGGGGACATTAATTGCCTCCAGGGCTTCATCTGCACTGTGGGGGCAGAGAGGAGAGTTCAGCAATGCTGGCCCATCAGCCCCCCAGTTTCTGTCTGTGTAACTGGAGATCTGCTAGTGGCTTGGGCTGCAGGTAGATGAGCTCCGGCTCCTAGGCTCCAAGCAGACCACACATGGGAGAGATCAGAGCCATGAAAAGGCACTAGATGTGCTTTGGTTTTGCTCGTGTTGCTCCATAGAGCTCCAGGGCTGAAGTGACCTTGAAGGCCATGTCTATTGTACAACACAAAACGGGCTAGTGGCTCAGAGGCCAGCTGCGTGGCACAGCTCACGTCCATACAGCCAAACACCTGAGCCTTCACCCTGGTCAGTCCATACAGAGTGCCTGCTGGGCAAGGTCCTGGGTCCCTCAGCAATGCTCAGGATCTCTTTGGGAATGTACTGCTTGGCACAGACCAAAATCATGCCAACGACAAACTTAATGCTTCAGCAGTGTGGGCCAATACTGGACCTGTGGCCAGACCCTGATTTACTGATGATACAAACACAGCCTTCGTATGGGTTCATGTGCAAATACCACTGCTGCAGAGGTTCTCTGCGGCGTTAAGGGGCTGCAATAGGACAGAGGTTCTCTCTTTTTATGCTCACAGCTTTTTACTGGCACCTGGACACTCTGCTCCCTCCTTCTCAGCAGTCAGCTCAGCGACAAAAAAAGAAATTGCCCCAAGAGAGTGCACTCCCCTTTTTGTGAAGCTGAGCGTCATCCCATACCAGTTCTCTGAGTGGATGCAGTTGATTACTAGATTCAAGCACACAGTCTTAAAATGGGGTTTTAATGCATACAGCATGGACCTAGGACATGTGGGTTTGCTCAGTTGTTTTGAATGGTGTACCAGCAACTAAAGGTGAGGTATGCAGAGTAACAGAACCCACCATCCTTTCTCAAGATTTAGTCAGCTGTAACTGGAAGTGAAATTTGACCCTGCATATCATTCCAGCTCATTCTTCTGAATTCCTTCTCAATTATGCAATTAATTCCCAATTAATTAACATAGTAGGCAATCCAATCTTGCAAGGGAATGGTTCTAGGTGGTAGCACCAGTAGTCAACTCATGGAGAGACATCTCTTTTGGTAAGCAGCAAAGTAACGATGTGCGAAACTTGTGGATCACAACTAGCCCTCCATGAGATGTAGCACATAAACTGTGCAAGATTTTTATTTATGAATCAAAGCAAACTATCAGCATTCACTAATTTTTGCAATGCTCCCAGTTCATACACCATGACACAGTACCTTCATTAATGAAGTAACGGAAGGACCTGGGATCAGAATCACGATCATGACATTCAATCCTGAAGCCATTAATATTGGTCCCAACAGCTAAGCTGACTGGGATTTGAAATGAATAGAAATTGGGTGAACAAACTGGTTCTTCATCATTTACTTCCAAAACATTGACAGTTACCTGAAAGAAAAGAGCAACAGCAAGCTGAAGCTCCTCCACTGTGCTGAGCCAGAATTTTATTAACTTCAAAAACTGTTTGGCTTTGCTCATTTTGCTCTTTTGATCAACAGCAGTTGAAGAGCAATGAACATCCCTTCCAATCTAGTTTCTACCATAAAATGTCTGTGATTATTTGACCTCCAGTTCTTCTTGCGATCAGCACTCTTCTGGGAACAGGTTCCTTAACCTGAACCATCTTCTAAAACTGCAGGGGTTTTGATCTGATGTGTTCGACTGTTTGAATTACCTGAAGTGTGTCATGGTAAGAATGAGAAATAATAATAGTACCGCGTATTCATTAAACTTCATTTCAGATATCTCAAATTGCTTCACAGTCATTAGTTAGGCTTCTTAGCATATTTAATAATAATTGAGAGCATGATCCATGGAAGGAAGGAAGATTCCTTATAGACTGATTGTTCCCAGTGAGAGAGAAATGCTGGTAATGGTCTTCTGCATGGCTGGGAGCTCCTCGGGTAGCGCCAGATGTGATTAATGTCAGCTGGGATTAGCTGGCTGAGAGAAAAAGGTTACCCTTCTCAAAGCTCTTTCCTCTAATGTCTGTTCATCTTTAACATACAACAGATAAACTTGTCATCGTTACAAGCTCCTGATGCTAAATTTTCCTTAATGATCACCTTGAAATATCACAGGTGATAAAGAAATTAAGTACCTCCCACGTAGCATCTCCACGGGTGGTGCCTGGCTGGAATAGAAAGCAGGCCTAGTAGCTGTATCCCCCCCAACAGATGTGCAAAAATCAAATGTAAGGTAAGGTAGTCATGAGGAAGAAGGTGTGAAAAGGAGTAAAAAGGAGTCTGTATGTGAAGGACACTGGGATTCTTTGAAAGAAGTGACTGTAAAATACCTTTGTGTATATACCATCTATATTTTTTCTTCTGAATAAAATAGGTCTGGGCAGCAAAGTTGAGCAAAACCCTGCTGTTTAATGTTGTCGTGGTCCCTGGCGTGCTCTTGGCTCCTGCCAGGTAGCACCATCAGGGACAAAACTAGATCACGGTCAGGGGAAGGCACATGTAAGGGTGCATTCCCAGTAGGCCATGTGGACACAGCTGTACTGGGTGGGCCTTCTGACATTATCCCAAGAGGCTGCCCAAGCCCTCATCCCATCCCAACGTATGCAGCACATCCCCTCTGTCCTACCCCATGAAAACACAACTCTGATGGGCTGCAACACGATTCTCGCATGACTTTGGGCACTTTACAGTGAAAAAACATCACATACAAAATCAAAAGTATGTTTGAGGGCCAAGGGGCACTACACGAGGTCCAAAAAGGACTTGGCACTAAGCATGGCTAAAATTAGGTTCTGCTACCTGGCCTCAAGACCCTTTCCTTTTTCTATTTTTCCAGTATATATGTAGCCAAAACGAATATCCTAAATTGTGTAGGGCACAGAAAACAATTTCACTGCCCTGGTGAAATAAGAAAAAAAGACTGAGAAACAAACCCCACAGAGTTAAAAATACAAAAGTATTACTTTAATTCCTTTTTGTAAGAAATAACGCAAGACTGAGTGACTGCAACCTCTTTCATCTGACTAATATACAGCTCTGTGCAGGGGTGGACTTGCCTTTTACAGACCAAAGTGCTTTGCCTAATGTCTTACCATTATTGTCAAGAAAAAGAGAGAAAAATGTAGATAAAGGGGTAGAAGTAGAGTGAATTTACTCACAGATGCTGTTGCAGTCTTCTCTTGGTCTGAGGCCTGTACTGTGAGAATATGTTTCTGAGCTGTTTCATAGTCTAATCTAGCTAAAATCTTCACATCTCCTTTGGTTGGGCTGATCCAGAAGATATTTGTGTAATCCCTGGTGCCTCCTCCAGCTACAATGGAATAAGTGATGACACTGGGTGGCCAGTCTTTGTCGCTGGCATCCACTCTTCCAATGCTGGATCCAACTGAGAGACAGAAAATCCATATTTCATTAACATTTTAAGGAAAAGGAAATAGAGAGTACTTGTTCCAACCAAAACTTGATGAAACTGAAGTAAAGATTTGGTTTAGAGTTTTTCACCCCAAAAAAGTAAATCAAAGGTGTGAGAAATACTAGGTCACCATGCTCTGCTATGGCTCTGCCGTGTATGGGCTTGCCTGCTAGCAATACATACCAAAACACGAGGCATCTGTAGAGAACCACAACAGAAGTGCTCTGGTGGTGAGGGCCACCCCGAGCCCTGCACCAACACGCATAGAACTCCTGCCTTGTGGCAGCCTGAGCGCTGGCTCGGTTGGAGGAACAAGGCTCTTTGCTTTGAAAAGCAATTGCTGCTGTTCCTTCTGAGGTGTTTGAAAGGTGGTTTGAATTACCTTTGTGCTGAGCATTTACAAAGCAAACTACAAATGGCAGTGCTGTAGACTGTGAGAACGAAGATGGGACTGTGCACACCCATCTCTGCAGACACTGATTCAATGCTAAATGCATCCACATGACCCGGGGATATACAGGATGAATAGTCCACATGCACGGAGTAAGACAGAAGGAGGACGTAAACAAAGGTTTGGCTTTTTTTTTTTTTTTCCTGACCCTGTGAACTCCAGCCCTACTGCAAACTGTTGGCTCTTGTTTGGTACAGCAATAGCAAGCACCCTCTTAAAGTCAACTCAGCTCAAAACAAAAGGCAGTCTGAGTCCAAAAAAACATTTCTCTTTATAGTCTCAGTATCCAGCAAAGTTCTGTGGCTGACATAGAGAGGTTTACATACGGATTTCAAGTATTTCAAGTATTATATTTCTAAGGTGCACGTCAGTGGTATGAGGAGAGACACACACAATAGGAAATGCCGCAAAATTCACTGCATCATATCCACTAGGAAATAGTGTAGAAAGCCAAGCTCCATCCATGCAACATAGAAATAAAAGCTGGACAAGAACAACAGGCTGCTGAGCAATGCAAGGCGCTGGTATGAACACCCGAAGGTCAGGGTCCTCTGATTGCTGAATGGCCGCCCTGTGCCTCCTTGTCCCCCCTTAGCCCTTCTTGCTTTCCTGGCAGTTTGGCTCCTGCAGGGGCTAGGGCTGCCAGGGTCCCTCTGCCAGGCAGACCCCCCCAGGAGCCTGCCAGGCAGACCCCCCCAGGAGCCAGCCCCAGCCTCCCCAGTCTCTCCAGCTCCCTCCCAGGCCATGCTGCAGCTGCGCCACCCTCAGCAGTGGCCGATGATGGCTTCTCCACAGGACAGGCAGGAGTGATTTTTGCAGACCTGTGGACCTTGGCAGGATTCTCCTGACCAGAGAAAGAAGAAAACAGAGAGCTGAGGGTGAGGGCTGGAAATTTAGGCTTGCTCCTTCACCCATGACAAGAGAGACGAGGTTGTGGACAGGCTGACAGGGCTGCTCGAAGCATGCCTTTTCCTCTCCCCCCCGCCCCTGCCTCTTGGCTTAGGCAAATGGACATAGAAGCACCATAGACCCCACAGGTCTGCTGACCATAGCCACAGCTGCCTTCGCCTGTGCTTTGAGCCTGTCGTGGCCAGAATAATTTGATGAATTCAAGCAGATACTAGATTATCTGGCTGCTAAATCTCCTGGAGTTTCATGGGCAGCTTCACCATGTTCCACTCAGATGCAGTGATGCAGTTGGACGTCTTGCTCGGTGACGTGGCCATTGGGGCAGGCTTGTGAGTAACAGCAGCCTGGGGCAGTGTTGGACGTGCTGGAGGACAGGGCTGCCGTTCAGAGGGGCCCAGCAGGCTGGAGCTATGGACCAACAGGACTTGTGGAGCTCAGCACAGACAAATGCAAAGTCCTGCACCTGGGCCAGAACTAGCCCATGCATCAGCGCAGGCTGGGACTGACTGAGCAGGCAGCAGCTCTGCAGGAATGGACCCCAGGCCCTGGTGGACAAGTTGCACATGAGCCACCAGAGAACCCTAGAGGGAATGGAGACTGCATACTGGGGCTATATTAACAAGTGTGTTACTAGCACATGGTGGGAAGTGACTGCTCCACTCTGCTCAGCACTCATAAAGCTAGCTGTTTGGGGGCCCAGGTATAAGAGAGATGCTAATAAACTGGAAAAAGGCTGGGAAGGGCCACTAGGATGGCAGGCGGTTGAGCAGAGGATGCAGGAGGAGAGGCTGATGAGGCTGGGTTTTTTCAGGCTGGAGAAGGGAAGGCAAAGGGGGGGATTTAATTGCTTTGCTCCACTACTTAAAGGGCGATAATACAGAAGACCAAGATATACTCTTCTCAGAAGAGGACAGTGAAAGGGCAACAGAGAACAGACACAAGCTGCAACACAGGAAATTCCAGCTGGGTGCAAGGTAAAATTACCTGGAATGAAGGTTGCTTAGCTGGAACAGGGACTCAGAGAGGCTCTGGAGTCTCCATCCTAGGAGATTTTCAAAATTCAACTGGATGAGGCCCTGAACAACCTGATCTAACTTTGAAACTAGCTTCACTTTGAGTATGAGTTGGACTTGAGACCCCCAGAGGTTCCTTACGTCTTCAATTTCTCTGTGACCCTAGGAAGTACTGCGTTCAGCTCTGGGGCCCCCAACATAAGAAGGACATGGACCTGTTGGAGCGAGTCCAGAGGAGGGCCGCAAAGATGATCAGTGGCCTGGAGCATCTCTCCTATGAAGACAGGCTGAGAGAGTTGGGGTTGTTCAGGCTGGAGAAGAGAAGGCTCTGGGAAGACCTTATTGTGGCCTTCCAGTACCTGAAGGGGGCCCACAAGAAAGCTGGAGATGGACTTTTTACAAGGGCATATAGTGGTAAGACAAGGGGTCATGGCTTTAAACTGGAAGAGGGTAGTTTTAGAGTGGATATAAGGAAGAAATTCTTCACTATGAGGGTGGTGAGGCACTGAAACAGGTTGCCCAGAGAAGCTGTGGATGCCCCATCCCTGGAATTGTTCAGGGACAGGTTGGATGGGGCTTTGAGCAACCTGGTCTAGTGGAAGGTGTCTCTGCCCATGGCAGGGGGGTTGGAACCAGATGATCTTCAAGGTCCCTTCCAACCCAAACCATTCTATGATTCTGTGATTCTATGATTCTATGATTCTATGATTCTATGATTCTATGATTCTGTGATTCTATGAATGAGGGTCAAGATTTATCCAGCATGTACTTAATGGACCTCTCAATTTTTTCTCAGCCAACAGAATAAGCCAGTAAGTGAGGTCCTGGGACAGAAGGCCTGTGTTTGGTACATTGGGTCGTATGAGGGAGAAGCTGAAGCTGGAGAAGATGCCATTCCCATGCCAACTCCTCTGTGCCCCAAGCAGCACAGCACAGAGCAGGGTGGCAGTTGCACCTGGCACATGAGGATTACCAAGGAGGCAAGATGCCATGGCACTGCTCTGCAAACTCATGAGATGCAAGACTCACCAGGGCACAGGAAGGGTGCCGAGGTGGGAGTCAAGCATGTGAGCAGTTTCAACAAATTCAGTTTTAAGGCCATGTTTGCAGCCACTGGTCCCGGGCTGTTGCAGGAGTGGGGAGGACCCTGGCTCTGGGTACGAGGAGCTGCTTTGGCTGCCATCTGGTGAGCAAAGCCTCCCCCTCCGAGCGCTCCCATCCCACCCCATCTCCAGGGAACCCACTGCACCCGAGGTGAGTTGGGTCTAAGGGGACAGTGGGGGTGGCCATCCTGCATCATGCCTGGGCCAAGGAAGTCCTCACTCGTCTGTGCCAGTCTATAGCAGCTTCTTTGCACCATCACAGTCCCTCCAAAAGGCTAATTTAGCAAGAGCAGAAAGATAGTCTAAAACAAGACATCTGAATTCAGTTTCTGGCTCTGTCTCAGATTTCTTGTGCAATTGTTGAATTTGTCTGTCTCAGCTTCCATCTGTACAATTGGAGTTGTTGCCAGTTTTGTCTATTTAAGGGTAGTAGGTGGTTGTACAGTGAGACCCCGGTTGAACTGGAACTTTGAGCCATTCTCCTCATTCAAATATATGAAAATCCATTTGGAGCAAAAAGGTACTGATCAACATGACAACATTATTTCTGTCATGTAGGTGCTACTTACTGTACCTTTAGTAATTTCTGGGACATTAAATTCATATGATAAATTACTGAAGACTGGAGAAAATTCATTCACTGGCTTTATCCTGATGTAAATGTAGATGATATCTGGAAATATAACAGAAGATTAAATCATAGTTAAGTATGGCAGTGAAATTTTCTCATGCATATATTCAAAATACATATGGTATTCTTCTCTCCACGCTGTTACAGCACAGGGAAATATCAAAAGTGTAAAAGGCATACTTACTTGAGTAGTTAGGACGGGCAATATCTTGCACCCTGACAGTGAAAGAATAAACTTCAACTCCTAGATTAGCTGGGTTTTCTAAATCAATACCTTCAGTCATCTAAATTAAAAAGAAACACAAATGTATTTATACTTCCTTACAAAAAGCTACAATAGACATGATGGCAATTACTTTTTTCAGTGTTCTTTAAGTGTGGTCTCCCCCTTGGGTATATAGAATTGCTTTGTAAGACTAATATAGGCTATTAATCAATTACAGGATTGAATTCCAGGCTTTTTCTACATGTTCACGCTCTGGTGTCTCTTGACAATTCAAAACTCTTTCTTTCTGCCAACAAAATATCTTCCCCTTAAGTGCAAGAAGTTTTATCATTTGGATCATAAGGTCTTGGCCTTTTACCTGGTTAATTCAAAGAGTATGTAATGAGATGGCTATTTGCTGTGCCCTTTGTTGGCTCAACAAGAATCTGCTATTGCTAAATAGTAATAGTTACTCCTTGGGCTCATGCTTGCAGACATGTATTAAAGGCATCAGGTTCAGCCACAAGTGTTTATCCAGGAACCAAGTTGTTACTAAATGGTGGCTCACACATATTTAAACCCTAATCTCCTGAACTCTCTGTCTTTCTGTAGGAGCCTCATAAACTCTGGGGCAACGGGACTAAAGCACAAGCATCCACTGTTTATCACCTACAGAGAAATTCCTGCAGGGACAGGACACTTCAGATAGCTTCTTACATTATACATACGTGGTGATCAAAGGGCTGACAACAATCGTATCCTGTGCAGCAATGAAAATGCTTTTTATGTTGGCAGATGAAGCAGCTAAGGGCAGTGCTCATTGACGTGCATACCTCAGATCAAAAATTAAAGTAAGCCATACAAAATTGTTTTACTGCTCCTGTAGCACTCTTGTCTTTTAGACAGAATGCGTATTTTTTGTTATGTTTCCCTTTTTCTGTATTTGTCCACGTTTCTTTTTAAAGCAACAAAACAACCACCATCACACATGTCCAGCAACTGGTGGGGGTTCTGGCCAATGCAAATATGCCAGCAGCTGTCAGCATAAGGAACTCATATTTTGACATGCAAAATAACACAAGTGCAAATCCCACCACACTTTTGTGAAAATTTACCACTCAAAGTGGTTTTACAATTCTGACCAGTGAAGCTGGGAAGTAGTTACTGAGTGTGGGATTTCTCAAGTATTTCAATTCTTCATACTGAATAGCAAGGATCTTCCACAGTCTGTCATGAATAAATGGGTATGAAATGGCATCACATTTCTCTGTTTATCCATATCAAAGTTGGTGCTTCACACTCCCTAAAAAAGGATTTTTTTTTCAATCATATCTCGCACATTTATTTAAAACTGGAGAAAATAGTTCTCTCTTCACCAAATTCTGTTGAATCCATAGAAAGCATCCTATCCAACGGTATGTAGTTCGCATCCAGTCAAAACAATCATTCTCCACATCATACACACTGTGACATGAATTACAGTAATTCTTTTTTTTCTTGTACAGACAATGAATTCAAAGAACTTATAATATTTCCGAAGTTGACTTCTGAAATAGGTCAATCTAAAATAAAGTCACGAACGACTGACCACAAGTCTTCCAGACACAGTGGACTCCAGAGCAAAGTTATTGCTTCCAAAACCAGATAATCCAGTGAAATGAAATTGATTGTTTGATGGATCAACATCAATATCTTTACAGTAATTTCTAAGATCAAGAAGAAATGTCCCAGTAGTTGTATTTTCATTCGCTTCTTTCCTGTTTAAAACAAACATGTTTCCCATCAGAGCAACTTATATTTCTCCTCTTGAACTTTTCGTATATTACATGCCAAAGCATTGACTTCCATTTATTTTCTAAGTGAAATCCTAGACCTAAATAGGCAACAGTTGATGAAGCAACCCAGTATCTGACCCATGCGCTGTGGTGGACAACAGCCCTGTACAATGGGCAGGACATAAACATTTAGCCAGATCCAAACCATAAACCTGGAACTCAGCTATACGTCAGAAGCTGCCACAAGATCTTAATGTTCAAGGTTAGTTCAATTAGTAATTAGTATTTTAAAACATCTTTACAACATTCATTTCTTCAGTATGTTATAATGTTCTCCTGCTGAGAAGCTTGTTGTTTTCTCCTTCCTAATAGCTGGACCATTCTGCTTTTTTGTGAAACTAGCATTTCTGGCCCTGCTGTTGACAGTGAGGGTCCCTGTGATGCACATAATGGAATTGGGGGTGGATGGTGTCAATTTAATTTTTTTTAATTGAAAAATGAAAAAAAAAATGAAGAACCAACTGAAATACCATTAGGTCCTGATTTTGTTCCCTTGTGCAATCCCTATAAGACTAGTTCTTTATTTGATCACATTTTTTCCCTGAAGATTTTTGTCTCCTTCAGATCAAAATTTAAGCTCACTAGATAACAAAGAGACTGTTGTGTTATTGTCATGGATGTTGTAACTAAGCAGCGCTCTGAAGAATTGGATTCTCTTCCTGCCAGTACGTAAAACTATGTGATTTAAATGTAAGACATTTCTATTAGATAGTGAGCAAGCAATTTAAACAGATACCTACTAACTGAGTATTCCTCATTGCATAGGTTCTTGGCCTGAGACGCTGGGTTTTTATCTGCAGGACCATCAAACTAACCTAAGTGCACCTGAAGAACTGCACTATGCAATGCGGTGGACCCTGAAAGATCAGAGCGCAGGCACATCAAACACTTCAGATGGACAATTTTGACTTCAGTCTTTCTATGACTCACTTGATCTGTAAAATGGAGTTAATGTTATGTTCTCATCTGCAAGTATAAACTACCCGATCATCACAAAGGTCTCAGAGCATTCATAGCCATAGCAAAGTCCATGACTAAGTTACTATGCCCAGAGGACACCTATAACAAGAGGCGATCTGGGCTCTAAAGACCTTGCATTAGACAAAAGCCATGCAGGTCACCAGGGAGAGGTTTAGAAGAGAAGATCAGGAATTTTAAAACAAAACTCCAGAACTGACTGGCAAGCTTTCCCTCATGAATGATTCCACATAGCTTAGCATCAAGTAAGAAAGGAAGAGCCTGGATCTGTATGGGTTAGAAAAGTAACTAACACATGGCTCTGATATCCTAAGGGTTTAGGTATCTGAAAGAAAGACAAATAAAGTGTCTGACTATCCACAGATATTTTTAATCCAAATTTCCAGTTTGGACATGTCAGGAAATTGAGTTTTGTGCCCTAAGGCACTTAGAGTGAACACTAACCTTTAAAGGCTTAAAGATAAATGTCCATTTGAACCTCTAGCTGTGGGAAGTCTGGGGACCCTAACTGATGTGCCCTAGACTGCACACTGGTCTGGGGCAACAAGGCAGCACTAAGGCAATGAAGAGTCTCAATACCTGAAGGTAGAAGGATTGCATTCTGGTGGGTTGTCATTGATATCGTCAATAATGATTGTGATCTCCATTTCGCTGGCGTGACCGCCGCTGGGACTGTCCTCCACCCGGACTATCACTGAAATGTTAGGATGGAGCTGCAGTGGAAGGGCATCTCGGTTGATTCTCCCGGTCACCTGCAGCACTCCAGTCGCTGGGCAGAAAGCAGCCAGAAGTTACATGCTCACCGTGGAGGGAAGTAACAAACACTCGTGGTATACGTGCAAGAGGACAGGGTACCTCAGCAGACAGGTAGCAGCATAAAAAGTATTCTGTTCTGTGCAAATCATGTCTGGTTTAGTTATTTTTTAAAATGATACAAAATGGCTCTGAAAGTTGTGTGTAAGACTTTAATGGATAGATACCCATTGCTCAAAAATACACCATAGGTGGCCTCAGCAGAGGGCTTGGAAAGCAGTTAGATTTCCCTTACGCTCTCAAAAAGCTAGTGCAAGTCAGAGTTGAGTGCACTCACAGATCATCAAGGACAATGACGTGCTAATGCCTGGGCTATCCTTGCTCACTATCTAGTAAGGCCGCTTCACTTTCTACTGTTATCATTCAAGCATTCTTCAGCACCTCTAAATCGACTCACACATCAACAGAGCTGCTCGTAGCTGTGACAGATTGCGCCAAGTGCTCTGGTCAGCCATTCACTTAATAACTTTTTCCACTTCTGTTAGCCTCTGTTCATAAAGAAGATTTTTGTGGCAGAGCACAGTACACCTCCCAGAGCACAAAGGCAGTAAAGGAACAGTGTATATATCCTCTGCCTTTTGCAGTGTAATTGAGGGGGAGGGTGGCAATACCTGGCCAAAGGACATAGGGAATCCAAAGCATTTAAGGATCATCCTGATCCCCCCACAGCACTGTGTCGTGTGGCACCTCTTACAGATGTGATAAGCAGTTCTAAAGCCATAGCAGACAAGGAGCAAAGCAGTCACTGAATGCCAGCCCTGAGGCAAAAACCTCAGGGAACTGGTGCATGCACCCCAGAGAGCACGGGGAGACAGGACCAGCATCAGAGAGAGGACATTTTTGGATGAAACTGAGGTGCAGATTTGCTGTGCACTTCAATGCTAGAGGAGATTTCAGGCAGGAGAGAGGATATTATGGTCTATCTGTGTGCAGCTGTTTCAAGAGCCCCAGAAAGGTCACTGCAGTCCTCAGAGATTAAAAAGAAGTCAGCTATCTTACTTCTGCCGAAGGGACTGTCACCCTCCAGCCATAAGTCAATATTTGTCAATCAGTCACCTTTAGTCTACTTTCTTCAAGATGTCTTACTGAATCTTGGTCAGCTGACCAAAGAATTTGACCCTAATAATGCACTGAGCATTTCTTATTTCTAGGGGTAGCCACAGAATAAAGTAAGTCAATTTAAAACTAAGGCAAAAACATTTTCTCCCAAGTAGCCACTCTCTTTTTTGGGTGTCAGAAGGCACATTTTTGTTCGTCTTACATGGATTTATGGAGAAATATCTGTCAGAAGACTGGATGCTGTAGAAAAGTCTGCTGGGAGAGTCTTCATCATCAGGATCTTTAGCTGTTATATTGGCAACAACGGTGCCCGGGCTTTGCTCCTCTGGAATCCTGTAGATTCTTTGTTTTCTACAAGATAAAACAAAACTCAGCAAAGCGCACATCTGTGTTTGCAAGAGCAGCTGATCACAGACTTAGCTGAGCAGCCAACTGTAGCAGCAGAGCCATGGCCATGCTGGGCTCAGTGATGGCTATTTGCATGTCAGAGTAAATATCCCAGTCACTGGTTCTGCCAGCTGGACGTGCAGCAATAGCTGAAATGGTATGTGGTCATAAAGCATGACATAGCCACACAAGCCAGTGTCCTTCACCTGCAACTTTTTCACGGTAAAAGCAATTTGACTTTCACAGATTCATGGAAGCTGAAGATGGAAGGGGCTGTTAAGTCATGCAGTCCATCTCCCTACAGAGCCACCAGCTTGTAAAGCCACTTGCTTTAATTCCTTCATTTGGCAAGAGAAAAACAAAGATAGAAGCAGTAATGTAATTCATCATCTTTTGGAATGAATTCTGGAGGCTTTTTGGGGACAACAGTATTACTAAAAAGCTGAGTTGCCCCTGCAGTAGGTGGAGGCAGGGAAGAGCACTCCTGTGGGTGCCCACCAGATGAACATGCTCCAAACTCCCAGCAACATCTGTCTGTCTGATTCATTTTACATAGAGAAAATGGTTCTTTACTGCTGCTGTTTGGTATGCCAGTGTTCCCAAATTTCCCATGAATTAAGCGAGTTTTATAGCTCAGATATAGTCTGGCAGGCAATTGTGCAGGATTGCTTATAATGGTTGCAGTTGCATGTTCACATGGGTACTCAGGTATGCAGTTATGGTACTTGAACCACATACAAAAACAGGCGTGGACAAGAATACAAAAACTGCAAGGAATTTATGAAGGCTGACTTATTCTACTGAAACACACACAAACACACAAACATCTCCTGTTTCTAGAAATCAAAGGGAGTTGAAGGTGCTCAAGAGTTCAGAAAAGCATTAGGAGTATGTTTCAAGACTGAATCCTTTTTGAACATTTTAAGCTTCCTATGCCACCACTTAGTTAATTGACTAGTCTATATTTCCCAGTATAGGAAAGCATGACCCCTTCGTTGTCCTCGGAAAACCAACATCATGGGGCACTTAGCAATTGGAGCAGGGAATTGCAGAAACAGAACAGAAGATCCCATGCCTCCAGGTTTCCACTTGCAATTTTAAAAATGGTTAAGAAGACACAGTATCTTCAACTGTTTTGTCAGCTCATATGAACAGGAAAGCATACAGGAGAGAAACCACATAGGGTTTTCCCAGTAAAAACACCTAATTTACAGCCAGAAGTAAACAAGGAGTTTGTGAAGGCTGCGGAGTCAGTGTGTTTATTAAGTTTCTGTCTCACTCTTGGCATTGGGTCTCTTCCTTCCTTATTCTCCTGTTGCTTCCAGAGTCACTCAGAAACAAAACAAATAGCAACAGCTCTCCTTCACTGCTACCAAGAATGCCACCCCAAAATGCCTCTCTGATCACTGGGGAATACGGGAGGGACAGCTCTAACTGGTTTTGGCTCAAAGTACGGAACTCCCTATGCCCACAGGGACCACAACTCCCACCTCCCTGTGGACAGCAAACTCGCCACAGCTCCACCTTCGCAGCCCTACCAGCCCCCCCTGCGCCCTGCATGGGCCGTTGTGCAGTCCCCACCAGATCTCTTGGGAAGAAATGGGATGTTTTTGAGCACATCCCCTAGCACCGAGTACTAGTACAGCTGGGGAGGAGCTGGGGCCGCTTCCTGTGCAGCTACGTCTGGGCTGTGTCCTGTTGTCCATCTGTCTGCCACCTGCCAGTGGCTTTTTACAGGATGGTTCAAGCAGACCTTTTAGACATTGCTATGTAATTACAAAGGAAGCACGTGTTTGTTTTCTTGTCTTCTCCTTTGTTTTCCTGACTCCACAAGTTTTCCATTGATTTTAACAGCCAGAATTTCAAAAGGCTGAATGCCAATGTAGTGTTGTGAACACCAAGAACAGATGTGCTTGCATATACTGTGGGAACAATTTAAAAAACCCTTTGAAACTCTGTTCTTGACAGCTTTGATTGGGAGAAAATAAAGAAGGTTTGCTAACTCATCGAGTTTCCCCAGCTCCCATCCCAGCACTAATTATTACAGTGTCAGAAAGTACGTAGCCCCAGCATGCAGCTCACATTTTAGCACAGGAGACACCATACATGTGCATACTGAGGCCAGCTCATGAAGTGTAATTTAATCTAAAGTTCTTTACAGCTGAACTGCAATTTTTGGTCTGTAGTGTCAATCTAAAAGGGAGAAGATTCAAATACCAGGCCTTATTTGTGCCATATGAGAACTGAGTCTTAGACCTTAGGTGTTATGGATGCTCAAGTCACTGCAGTTTTCACTAATTCAAACAAGTAGATAAATATTTAAAAGAGGTCCTTTAGCGTTCCAGGCATAATGATAAATAAACAGAAAGGGCAACATTTGGAGGAAGTAATCAGTCTAGAACACAATGTGCAAACGTTGGCACTGGGAAGAGGATTCCTCCTGCTTGTAGCAGTACAGCAACATGGAGCGAGCTCTTAACCTTATTGATTATTGCAGACATGAAGTTTAAGTATTAAGTAAGCAGCAACAACAACAAAAAAATCCATGTCTGTTTCTAACATTTCATTCTTCTATTTCTTCAGATTCTCTACCCCTTTACCCAGCAAGGTCCAGATCCTTGGCCTCAGCCCAGGAGCCATGCATTGCTCTGGCTCCACAAAGCACCCAGAAGATTGCTCCAAACAAGTGGCTGGAAACCTCTTGGCATGGCCCAGGTGCTACCTTGTCTTCTCCTTTGCATAGATGGCAGGAGGGCAGCCATCATAAATATTCTCAGCAGGGACCTTGTAGAGCCTCAGGATCAGGGGGTATAAAGAGAGTGTCTCAAATCCAATCAATCAGTGTCTCGTGCAAGTGACAAAGATAAATCAACAACAGAATCAGATCGACTGAAACAATTGTCAAGTTCCTGCTTCAGAAACAATCGTCCATCGTGTTTTCCACCACAAAACAGCCTGCTGGTGGCACAGGTATATTCTTTCCCACTTTTTCCAAGTTCTCAACAATATTCCTGGCTCCAAGTAAAACTCCACTAGTCTTCAAAAGCTATTTCTGAGTTGTGTGTTATGACACAATTTCCTGCTTATAACACAGTAAGAGACAATGTTTCAAAGATCACCGGGATTGTTTACAAGTGTAAGTGTCTGGGAAGAAGAGGAAGACAGATCAAAAGTGAGACCTTTTTATGTCTAGACATTTCTGCATGAATAAACATCATTATGGCGAAATGCACATCTGCATGAAGGGTAAATTCTATATGATTGTATTCACACAGGGTAAAATTCATCTCCTTGTCTGAACTTGTCCAAAGGTCTTTGCATGGCTTTAACCTCTCTAAATGCTAACAAGTACAACAAGCTTGTTTGGCGGTTCTTAGCATGAAGGCAGAGCCTGGAATATTTGAAACTATTAATAATATAGAATAAAAGAGAGAAATGAGGGCAGAGCTTTCCAGTACAAGAACAGGAATCATAATTAAATGAAAATACTGTTTTCAGTAGTATTTTGTTGTTATATTTACTTGCCCTTATGTTACATCCTCCCATTGGTGCCAAAGAAGTAAAGCTGGGAAAACATCTACATTTCAAGTACAACGGAAGTTTTTCACTCACGTGGTAAAGTAAGGTCTTTCATCATTGATGTTAATTATATTTATATTCACTGTTTTCGTCAAGTTGAGTCCGTCTGGATCTGTCACTGTTATATTTAAAAAGTAACTGTCAAATAAGAAAACAAACCAAGAATCATTCTGTGGCTATGTAGGAAAACATTTCTCTGCCTACTGTAAGCTAATAGACCACATGAATAAAACACATTCTCACCAGCGTGGATCTTTCTCATAATCAAATTCCTTTGTGGAAAAAATGGCTCCGCTTTCAGAGACTAAGAATGGCACTGGTGCAGGGAGCAGTGAATACTGAAAAGAAGAGAGCAAGAAATTAGTCTTTGTATCTTTAAACATCCCTCCATTCATTCCTTGCCTTGTAAAATGGGCCAAGTTATAGTACAGTATATTTGCCTCAAAACTTCGCATATTGAAACGTGCTGACATACAGATGCCAGCACAAGTGCTAATCATCTGAGCTGAAGCAGCTCAAACTTGGTCGTACGTGCTTTGCTTGACAGCCGGTGGAGAGTCACAGACACTGAATTACATTAAAGCCCACACTATTCTCTACCCCCGTGAACTCCAGCTCTGCAATGAGAATTTAACATAGAGGCCAGCCAGCGGAGCCACAGCGTGGTAGGCAAAAGTTGGCTTTGGGGGGGCAGCAGAGTATATGCACAAAGGAGAAGAGAGAGAAGAAGGGGTGAGGCTGGATTTGGGGGGCGTAAGATGTGCCATGCAGGAGGCAATGGAGTTCAGGGGTCCGGATGATGGGAGAGGCCAAGGAGGGGAGAGTGGACTTTCACGGAGTATATGAGGGTGTGAGGCTGAAAGGTGTTCACAACAGCTCGGTGTTCATGCGGCTGTTCAGCGGTGGCATGTAGCAGCAGCTGCTTTGTGCATCGCACAACACAGATGGGTACCGCACCAGTGCACGGGTGCAGGAGGGAGCTGAGCACCCAGACACCCTAGGCAGTAGGGAGGAAGGCAGCACCCTGATCCCCATGGCTGCAGGGTAGATACTGCACGCCCACCATGTCCTCCCTGCTATCATCCGCATGCCTCTGCCAGGCCACGACCGATAAGCCCTCAAGGACATTTCCTTTGCTAGTGCACGTGTTAATAATACTCAGAAAGTCTGAAGTATGCAACATCAGAGGGTCATGCACCATACAAATAATCTGCAAAATCCACTGAGCAGATCTGTCCAGGGGATGCAACTGCTCTCGTGTTATCTTTTGGAAAAAAACAGGAGGCGTAGAGAGCTGAGTGACACAGCTTGCCTCCTGCAGTGATAGATTTAATTGAAATTGCTTTTAAAAAAAGCAGCTAGGTGATCACAATTCTTTTAACAATTTTTTTGCCAGTTGACCTTTCTAAATTCCCTCTCCAGATTATTATTTTAGCTGTTGCCCAGTATTTCTATATTTGCAGCTTCTTATGCCTGAGCTTCATCAGGGGTTAGAAGGCATGTGGAACTCGCTGCCATTGCTTTCAGAAACAAAGCAGAGCTAAACCCCAGGCCTCTGCTGCCTCCTCACTAGCTCGGGTTTGGTGGTTTGACTGGGCAAAGCCTGAGGACAGACTTCAAGGTAGTTGCTCTCTTGAATAATGCTACATATTGAAGTAGCATCTTCAGGTTCAGTTCTCAAATGTGCTGTCTTTTATAAAGCCAAAGCCACTAAAGGAAAGCTACAACACAGTTCTTAGGTAAGTGCAGTTACTCTTCCCCGTCTGCAAACGAACATCACTTTCCAGAAAATTTTGCTGATACCAAGAGTATTTTAGGTCAGCTAACACATTTTCTTAACTGAAGGTCACAGTTTGCCCTGGGATTGTCAAAAAGCTGACATTCAGTTGCCTTGTAAGTGATTTCCTTACTGTCTCGTTTAAAGGAATTTACATTGTGATACAGAAGGTTAAAAATTTTATTTACTTTTAGTCACTCTCATCTACAAGAACTGTTTTGCAAACCATTTTTTTTTAAAAAGACAATTTCTGCTGTATCTCTGATTAACTACATCAAATTCTGCTTTCAATATCCCTTAATTTTGGAGGGCTGAGAACTCAAAATACAATTTGTATCCAAACATTGAAGCTGGGTTTTCTTAGTTTATTATTGAAAATGCTTCTTTTTTCCTGACTAAACCTTTTCCCGTGTTCCTGATAAGGAAGGAAGTTGTTGAAAGATGATAGCAATTAGCATTTCAGATACAGTGGATTATATCATCTCAGGATTTTTTTCTTTAATACAACTTACTTTGAGTTTAGCATTCTCAGGATCAGCTGCATCAACTTGGTAAATGCGTCCCCGAGGTGTTCCTTCCAAGACATAGATCATTACAGCTGCATGGATATAAGTGTACTCAGTGTTAATTGGGTAAGAATAAAGGACATGGCAGCAAACATACCGATACACTGAAGCTGTCCAGACCTATTACTGCCTGCTGCATCTTCTCGCTTCACAAGTGTAATTCCAAAATCATCACAAAGCGTGCAAATACTCAAAAGATAAAAAGAAACCAATTGCATATCTGTAAACAGGCAACCATCACTGTGAGTTGCAATATGAATTGTGCCTTCAGGAGAAAGACTGATCTTTACATACGGCCTATCTTGAGCTGCTCGCAGGGTACGGAGTAAAATGATGCATTTGGGCTACGCCTGTGTCTTTCTTTACTATGCAGATGGGGAGAACGTAGCCTTGTGCTAGGTCCCCATTGCCATCCCCTCCCTGTCCACCCCCTGTCCCCTGCCAGGAGAGCTCAGAGCCATTCCTCTTGAATTCTTCTTTTCCTTACACCTGCAAGATACATAAATAGCGGATGGTCTGTGCTGACTTAATTTTTTGCCTTACTAAGGGTGCTAATTCAGTGCAAGGTGTATTTCTTTCCGCGTCAGGAATTCTCACAGCTGGGCCATCCTGTACTGGGCCACTGGCAACAGGCTTAGCTCTCCTTGGGTATAGTGATTAACAGAACAACAGATCTTTAGATCACATTATTTGCTTTATGCCCTTTTGTGTCTGCTGGACCTGCTGTTTCTAGACTATTAATTTCCACTGTGACCCCTGCTGACTGCTGCTTCTCATCAGAGCAGTGGGAATCCCAGAGCAGCGTAATGAGTTGTTCCCAGAGGACAACAATATGAATATAAAGTTTAATGAGAGGGAGATGCTTTTTCATAACCAGCGAATGTGCAATTAGTGTCTAATTGTAGCTGGTACTGTTAACTAAAGCCACACAGTTAGACAGATCAGACATCTGTGCTCACCAATTTATGGCAGCTCTAGCTGAGAGTGAAGCTGATGCACTTATTTGTAACAAGCTCCCACGTAGAGTGTGTTTCATGCTGTGCTGATCCCCTGAAGTGTCACATTTAATTATTATTAGATTCCAGCAGCACCCATGATATGCAAGGCACCAGCTATACTGAGAAGATGACACAGCCTCTTCCCGAGGGGAAGCTAATTTGCTTTACAAACTAAGTATTGTATGGAAGCAGGAACATCAATGTGCTTTGGAGGCATTAGAGAAGCGGGCTGGATTTGAGCATTTGAGCGGGTCTGGGCTGAACCCGTCCGGGCAGGCAAGCCCTGCCCTCTGCAGCAGGCAGAAGTCGAGGCTGCAGCCACGTTGCACCACTGACCGCTCCAACGGCTGCGACTCGCAGCCTACGTAATGCTGCTGCTAGTCCAGATCTGTCAGGGGGGGCTCAGCAGCCAGCTCCCAACACCTACCATGAACAGATCACAGTTTGATATTTTCAGATAGAAAAAAAAAATTGAATATTGAATTATTGAATGCTCTTCTGTACAGTGCTGTTAGAATATCAAGACTTCAAACAGACTCTCAGTACCTCATGAAATAATAAGGGCATATTTTTAGGCACTCCCTGCGCTGTTCTGTCTGTGTGTGAACACATAAGAAATACATTGCTATATTCTGTTGCCTCATGGCACAATTTTTCCAGGTTCCTCTCATTAGTAAATAAACAAGATAAGATTGCTCAGAGAGTAAGACAATTATTTCCTCTCCTTTTTATTGATGGTGTTGGCACTCGTATTAGGTACTGCACGCAAAGCCTGCCCTGACAGCCGGGGTCCAGACACTCCAGCCTCATTCCTAAGGCTACTGCAAACTTCTCCCTGTTGCACCTTTGCCAGTGGTCTGAAAGTAAACCCGGTTAAGGCCATCTTCCCCACACAGGAGACAGAACTCTCTGCCTCTTTCCATTTGCACCACCATACATCACAATCTCCGAGATCTCACTCTTCAAACTGATTCTCCGCTTAATTTCTCACGTGCAGGTGCAAATGCAATATGCAGGTGTAAAACACTGGCAGAGCAATGTTTTTATCATTTTCCCTCAGAAATTCTTGCACATACACAATATACACTGATTTAAATTTATCTATCTTGCTTCTCCAAATCAGTCCAGTTTTCAATGCACTACTGAAACATGTACCCATACTCAATGGTTATATCCCCACCAAACTTCAAGTTTCTAATATGTATTAGACATGCAATACCTCTAGGTAGGTATTAATCTCATCAAAAAAACCCATACATATTTATTGGTATAAAAACCTTTTTTTTCTTATAATTTTTCAGATGCTTCAAAATGGTTAAATCATTTTTGGTCAAAGCTTCAAGAAAATTGAAAGGGCATTTCCATAGATGAAGCATACCAAATATTTGTGTAAAATAAAGCTCTGTTAAAAAGTACCCTGTTCCTCCCTTGTTTTCCTAAAGGAAAATGCTTAGACCACTTTAGCTACAGGCACGGTATGCAGCTATAGTTTTTCTTAATCTGATGTCATCTTTTCAAATATTGTTCTTTTCAAGTACCACCACTATCTTACTTTGAAATGCCATATTTCCTCGAAATACAGGACGTTCATTTTGATCTGTTACTTGGACAGTCAGTATGCTAAGGTCCGTTCTCCCAGCTGTGTCTTCAACAAAAATTTGTAAATCAAAGCTCTTTGGCATAGTTTCATAATCTAGGACAGGGTTTCCAGTGGTAACAACCTGAAAAGGAAAGATTATTATTAGCACATGAGGCAAGAGATATAAGTTATAATCTATACAAGTGAATACAAGTAAAGGGACAATTTCCATCAGTAAGCAGTAAGTATTTTAGATCATCTTCTGCTTGCTGGCACATTTCTTGTCAGTGGCAGAAACGTGAGAAAAACAGAGTGGAAAGACCAAAATGTTGTGGCTTCTTGGAGCAACTCAAGGACCACTTGTGTGAGGGACAGTTTGAGGAGGAGAAAGCCTGGAAGGAGCTGTTCTGCCTCACAGGCAAGGCTTTGCCTTCAAGGCCAGGACTACATCTTCCAGGTACTTGTCTGTGCTGAGTCCTCGCCTTTCCACACCAAGCTCCAGGAGCAGTCGAGGTGTGATGAGACTGAAAACTGGGAGGAAGCCCTGCAAGACACAAGGGCAGCTTCACTATTTCTGTGAGTCAGGAGCACGAGGGGGAAGACCTTTTACTTGCAATAAGGAGCATGGGGGCAGGAGGCTGTAGAGGCTAGAAGGTACCAGCCCCTTCCTTCTCTAAGCTGTGTCTGGGAGAAGACTTGCAGGAAACCAAAGAAAGGGGGGAGCTGCACGAGCACACTGTATGAGAGAGGGACCAGAACTGTTTGGTGAAAATCGTGAACTAACTAAAAAATAACACAGGCCTTAAGCTTTGTAAGATTGGTAAGGCAAACATTTGCTTTGGGTTTTTTTTTTTAAAGACTTCCAGCTCTGCACATCACCTCTTAACACAGGAGATGTACAAGCACAAGGCTGACATTCCATGAAAAAATATTAAACACATTCATTTTGGCTTTAGGATGAGTCCAGAGCAACAGCAGGATGCTGAAATATGCCATGATATTCACTGCTGAAACTAATAAAGAAACAAGAACTTTCCTTTATTGGACAAGAAAGGAAAAGGTGACTGTTAAATTTGCTGTGTAGCTACAAAACTCTGAAGCTTGAACACCAGTAGCAGGGGTGCTGTAGAACTGGAGAAGGAGAAGAATTGGGGCTCACAAGTGTGTTTGACAAGGAGCGCGTCAGTGTATTCACAATACTGCAGAGTGGAGGACCCTGGAGAGGATGCAGGAGGAGACCGATGAAATAAATCCTTGATTTTAGATGAGATGCCGTGGCCAGAGGACAAATGCAAAAGTGATGTCAGCACAATTAGAAGACAGAAGCCAAAATAGAGCCAATTAACAAAGACAGTTGGAGGAGAGTGAAAAGAAGCACAAGGTTTTATGCCTTCTGGTATGTAAAACAGCTGCTCTCTGGAACCTTGTGGATCTTTTTGTTACAAACTGCAGAAGAAAACAACTGTGTCCTGGATGGCCTCCTTCTCTCCTATGTTGTGCAAATAGAAGTTTCCCATAAAAGTGATGCTAACTCAGAAAAAACATTCTACAAGTGCTGCCTATAACAGCAATGGGAAGGTTGCTCTCCAAAATGAATGTTTGCTAAATACAGTAAACAGATGCAATGAATTCAAAATGAGAAACTGTCCAGTTCTAAGCAGAAATTATGTGCTCTGGGTATTATCCCTCCAGTTCACAGCCAAATATTTTCATTGGTGTTGTAACTACAGCCAGAGTGCCTAAATACACATCTTCCACCCTCCTTTATAGAGACTTTGCAAGTGAAGATGTGAATCTAGATGGTCTCTTTGTAGGTTGCTTTTGAGAACAGCTTGCCACTCGTGTAGGCTATGAGCCACAGTTCACCTCTTCTCCAGGTAGGAGCAATGTTTACTGATAAAGGCAGCACTATACACACTTGAAGCAGCTGCAGACTTCATGAAAGGGGGCCTAGAGTCACCCCATAATTGTCTACCCCTTGTTCCACCTGAGAATTCCACTGCTCCCTGCTCGCCCCTTCACTCCCGCGATGCAGAAGCAGCATCACGAACAGTATCAAGGTAGTTTCAGGCAGCAGTATGTTTTCATGCATTCAACACATCTTCTGCCCATGGGATTCTTCAAACAAGAGTAAGGCGAGAAGGCATAGGCAGGGCTTAGATCTCAGAAACTGTGACTTTCTCAGAAATCTCAAAACGTATCAAGAAATGTGATATTGCCTTGGCTTGCTGCAGCAGTAGCAGATGTGCTTCATAAATACAGAAGACCCTGTGCTAACAGGTACTTAGCTAATCTGCAAGCCCCATAATTCATACATTAAATACTTCTTTTTTCTATATCTTAGCAAAGATTTAATGGCAGTAGGTAGCACTGAGGTGTCTCATTTTGGATCACATTACTTTTGCAAAATATTGTACCAATCTGCTACAACATAGCATAAATAATTACATGTAGCAATGCTCATCAAATAAATGAACTAAGGACACTCGTGTATTTATCCTTGCCTTATGAGTTGTAATTAGCACTCAACTGCTGGTTTGCAGAATTCATACGTAGCTTCCTTTATAATTTTCTCATGACTGATATTCACTGGCCCACTCTCTTTGTTTCAGTCCCTTGAGTGAGTTAGGAAACCCTGAAAACAACTACAGTTCAAGGAAGACATAGCAAGTCCTCACAGGCCATTCTGGTAATGGGGCTGTGGTATGAAATGGATATAAACTGGCACTTTGGAAGAAGTAGTCTCCAGCCTATACCTTTCTTGGCCATTCATTTTCATTCTTGTGTCACGCTCTGCACTGTGCTAGAACAAGAATTTCTCCATCATCCCTGCCATGAAAAAAATCAGAGAGACTTCTTATCTATTTGCAGGGTTATTTTTCCTCCAGTTTAATTTGTCAGTCCCACTCAACAAGCAGCAACATAAAATGCTTGTGCTGTACAGTGTAGAGATGGCATGGGACAGGAACAAGCAGGTATAAAAAAGGGCTATGTTTTGCAGCAGAAGGCATAGTTTTAATTCAAAATGCCAAAATACAGCCTAGGAAGGGAGTCCCACATTATGAATTCTGTCAGCAAAGCCAGCTTAAGGGACGTATCCATTTCCACATGCCTGGTGCATGCCCTCAGCTGAGCTAGTTCAGGTGTTTGTGCAGCCACATCCTATGCTTCACAGGTGAAAGAGGGCTTTTTTGAGAGTTTTTTCGAGCATTTCACTGATCTGGCTGGGGAGCAGCTAAGGAACCAGCAGAGGTGGCACAACTGAGTTTTGTACTCTACCGGGAAGCGGGAGCATGGGAACACAAGCAGCTCCCTCCCGCCAGGCAGGTTGGATCAATGAGCCACAACCGCTGAGGTCACAGTCTTACTTTCCCCAAATTTTCTCCCAGAAACATCAGCAAAGAGAACAAGAAAAGAGCCCCTGCATGAGTTCTGCGAAAACCTGAACCTCCTTGGAGACATCCAGAAAAATATATTCAAATTAACTTTGTAAGTCTCTACTCAGTGTCTATCTGTATCTTTTAAAGACAAACTTCAGTGTCACTGTTCAGGCTCAGACATAAAAGCGAGTTACAATGGGATGACAAGTTATCATGCGTTTGAATACTCATTGCCAGTGACAAATGTGAGCTAATACTTGCTAATTTATCCAGCAATTAAAATTACCCTGAAGTAATAGAAATTGCTTTGCATTTGCCATAGAACAAGAGCACACAATAGGTAGAAATAGATGACAGATGTGTGAAAGTGTGATAACTTCTTACCTCAAGACAATTTCCTCATGTGTCACAGCCTTCGTTCAGAATTAAATATGACTTTGATCTGACTCTGCTTACTTTATTTTGGAAGTGAGTCAAATTCATTTTAATTCTAGGTGAGAATGGCCAAAGAGAAGCTGTGTGTGGTTTAACTAAGCCACTTTAAATTCACAGTGACCTCATATAAATTAAGTCAAAAAACTATGGACAAATCCTCAAAACAGAAGCAGGTCCTATATGTCCTTCTTCACCTCTTTTTTTCCAAAAATCACATTTTTTTTCTATCACAGAGTAAGTGGAATTATAGTGATAGGTGGTTTTTGCCTAGATGCAATTAAAAATTATAATTGCTGTTGCTGCTTATTTGTCATATCTATTACAGCATGTCCAAATACTACCACAGTCTGCATTTGCAACTCTTTTCTGATGAAAAGATGAGTCACTGTGTGCTGTCAATGCTCAGTAATCCAGGAAACATCAGCCTACATGACTGAACATTGCTAAACGTAAAACTCACCCTGTATTCGAGATCTCCTTTTGATTCAATATCAAAAGCCTCTGTAAGTGGATTTGAATTTACTATGGCAGGAAGTATTGCAACACCGTCAGAAGACAATGGAGAAACAGTTACATTAAAGGTATAAACTGAAACACCAGCTGCTGAGTTTTCTTCAACGGTGCTTGTTGCAGGTAAGCCCTTAAGCAACTGGGTTCTTCTTCCTGCAAGATGAAAATGAATGTAAAATTACTTCTGGGAATCTTAGGCTAGCAGGAGCACACAGCTTGTGCCAAGAGCTGCCATTAATGAGCAGAAAACGGTCTGATTCTCTTTTTGCTTATGAATGGTGGCATTGCACAGTAGTAAATCCAGTGCTAATGGCAAAAGAATCAATCTTTTCTCTAATTCAGTACTATACTATACATCTGGAGTGGCTGATATTAAAGTAGTATTGTTATTGCATTGTTTGCCTTCATATATGCCTTCATATAGAAGCAAAGAAACCGAACATGTTTGTATTATTTCATTTCACCCCCTGTGCTAATTGCTGCCTCTGTGCACTAATCACATCAAAAAGCACCTTGAATCACACAGAGCCGTCTGCAGCACCCATTTCCTTCACTTTCCCTTTTCTTATTCTTTCTAGCACAGCTATGTGCATGCCTGGCTCGCAGTAGTGCGAGTTAGCAACAACTTCGGGATGTTGTGCTGTTGTGTCTTCTGCTTTGAGCATGGAAGAGCACCCTCCATTCCCTGGAGGAGATGCGGGCCCACAAAAGCACCCTACAGTTCAGAACTGCCTGGAAGCAGCACAGAGCGCTGCGGCATCCAACAGCTTTGCACAGGCTCCTTGTTCCTCAGTGAGAACTCTGGACTCCCCAGAACAAAATCTGTGCTTACTCTGCTGTTTAGCCTGTGTTTTTTGTTATTTTAACAAAGATCTGTAGTGCTTTATCTCATGAAGACTGTCTAGAAAACACAAATCAGGACATCCCTAAACTGGCAATGTACCTCAACATGAGACTATGGTAAGGCTTAATGTTGCTTGGAGGGACTTCGCTGGCTTGTCCAAAACACTTGGCAAGAAAGCTGGCTGTGTTCAGCCAAACTTCCGACATACTGTGTGCCAAAACGCAGGCAGATACTGCTCACTCAAGGGCCTGGCCAGGCTGCTCACACACCAGCAATTACTGTAGCAAAAGCTCCATGAAGTCTTTATTTTTGCTGGGCAGCTGCGAGGTAAAAAGCTGCTATAGGAACTAGTCTGAGGCCATTAGGGCTTCAGCATGTTTCCACTTGGATGCTCAGGCTCAGCCTGGAGCTTGGGAACATAATGCCAAGGGGAAATCTGCTGCTTTGCAACACCTCTGCAGTGTGGGACAAAACCATCTCCCTTTGCCCCTTCTCATGTGGCTGGGGAAGGATGGCCCACACCAGCTACCAAAGAGGCACTCTAATTGCCATTCCTCCAACAGCAGCAGGCTTTTTAATCTGGAGGGCAAGAGTTCAGCTCTAATACTTTCCAATGACGTTAGAAGAAGCCTTAGTGACTTTTTCCCCAGACTATCAAACAATCTTGTTTCCC